TAGGTCGATAAATGTTATAATCATCAATAGAGCCTTTATTCTTAAACAGAGGTACTACCTTTGCAGTTTTGAAAACTTGAGGATAAGTATTACAAAATATTGATTGATCTTTTAAAGTTGTTAGAGGTTGAACAATTATATATTTAATTGTTTTAATATTTTTTGTGTTAAACCCATCAGGATCTTTGCTGTTACTATTTTTTATTTCTGTAATAGCTAAGTCAACTTCACTAAAGTTCACTGGCTGAAAACTAAAACACGGAATATTTTTCTGTGGTATATACTTTAAATAGTCATCAAGGGTTAGCTGAGGAACCTCAAGCTCATTTATTACTCTCTCAGCAGTTAAGCAGAAGTGGCTATTAAAACTATCTGCATTGAGTTTAGAATTATCAGTGAAGAAAACATTTTTATGTTTGTTACCATTAATAAGTTTCCACGTAGCTTGTTGGGAGTTGCCAGAATTTTTTATAAACCTATCATTTGCATTAACTTTTGCAAGCTTGATGGCTTCCCTGTACTCTTTTCTAAGTTTGATAATGGTGCTTCTAGGTGCAGCAATGGGATCGTTTCTATTTATTGCTATAATAAATTGAAGTCTCTCACGCATTTTTCTTAAAGTGTCATCGAACCAGTTTACTTTTTTACCTGGATTATTTTTATTCAGCAATTTAGATTTTTCTGGAAAAAAGATATTTATGGAATTTAATAACACATCAAATTAGCATTTTAAATTTTAAATGCACTCTACACTAGGTACCTGACTGTAAAAATTCACTGTACTATGCCAATGACCATTTGTTGTCGACGCATTAAACTCAATCAAAAAAAATTTAAATTAATATCCAAATTATCATTGTATACAAAATTAAAGTTGCAATTTAGCAAAATCTGGTTTAGATTGAAGAGTCCTTCATCTGTGATAGGTCTATAACAAACTCTGGTTGCACAGTTTGGCGATGAGTAAGCTATCTGAAAGGAAATACCTCTGTGGTCAGATGTGGGAGTGAGATCCACAGGTTTTGTGGTACCATCAATATTTGCGAAAACATTATCAAGACATCTATTACCTCAAGTATTAAATTTAACTTTTTTTGTAATATTGTAAGATCTAAAAAAATTACAGAGTTTTAAAGCTCTGATATCTGTTTCATTAAAATGGACATTAAAGTCACCCGTAATTATAACATGTTTATGAACATTAATTTTTTTAAGAGCTTTAGCCATAATGGTAAAGAATTTGTCTAAATCACCATCTGGAGTACGATAGACAGTAATAAGCTGCACATTAGATTTATTTATTAAAATACCTTTAATCTCACAATGTTGTTCAGAAGAGAGATTTTCAAGATTCAAATGATTAAAACTTACGTTATTCCTAGTATATATACCTACACCACCATGAGACTTAACTGATTAAAAATGCTGTTACTATTAATTTTCACTGCCTAACTTTGCTACCGATATTTTTTGGCTTTAGAGATTATGGACGCATATAATGATGTCTGAGTTTATTACTTTAACTCCTAGGCTTATTTATCCGCATAAGTTGTCACAGCCTAACCACTTTTTTTCATATTCTTTAATAAAATGCTCTATATGTATGTGTTAATTCATATAATGACATTTTTTAATTTAAAAAGGGCTTTGTAGGGTGTTTATTTTTGATACACGCAGTTCACCTTGACGACTTTTCATAATGTCATTACCCATAGTCTACATGTATTGAAATTGATACACATTATTTATGAAACTTTATTAAGAAAAAACATAAGCAAACATCTAAACAAGTCATTGTAAATATAAACTATGTGTTTTAAAAACAGAAATCACAAATAATTGTTTTCTCTACATTCAGTACTAGTTCACCTAGTGTTGCACTGTTTGGCATTCTTAGATGCATGTGCGCGACCAAATGATTTTTTCAGTGTGCTGAAACATATAACTCATCGTCCTCTTTTGTCATATTCTTCCAGCCTATGGTGTGTTTGTTAAGGTTTTGTAACCTTATTGTCTTTGCAAATGGCAGTCACTAATTCTTCGCGAAATTGTTTTACATCAATTTTTTTTTGTTCAAAGCTTTCTTGTACAGAATTAAAGCATTCACTACGGCTGTATTTGTCTATAACTCTATTCCAACTTTCCAATACCATTTTATAGAACGTCTGATGGGATTATTGTAGGAAGCTTTTTGATCAAAGACGTCAATGTAAGATTTAACAGCATTATATTCTACTATTGTAGACGGTTTTCTTTTTATTCCTGATTTTGTATGAACGTCGACCATTTTTTGGACAAGATTTTGTAGTCAAAAATGTTCCTGAATGAAAAAAAATCTCTCTTTTGTCGATATATTTTCCTACAATAACTTTTGTGTTGCTCTGTAGCGCCATCATATCTCCTTTATTTAGCTTTGCTTCAAACACCGACTTAGGATTGTATTTCCTATTTTTACGAAGTGTTCCAATTAGGTGTATATTGTTATCATTTAGTTCGTGTGCCAAACTGACACTAGTGTAAAAATTGTCCGTAACCAAAGTTTTTCCTGAGTGTAGAAAAGATAGCATTAATTCCATGACCACTAGGAATGCTAGTGGATGTTGCTCTGGCCTTTTTAACTTTTCGCCATAAATTTTTGCGTGATATGTGTAGCCGCCTTCTCCGCAGTGTTTGAAAACTTTTACGCCATATTTATTACGTTTGCCAGGTATGTACTGTAAAAATGACAAACGTCCTCAATGCAAACGTACTTGCCTGGTACCAAAGCAGATTGAAAACTACTATTGAACACCTGCAACAATGGTTCAACTTTGTGCAATCTGCTTCCTTCAGGACAAGCTTCATTATCTGAAAAATGAAAGCAAGCAAGAAGAACCTCAAATCTTCACCTTGACATGTTTGTAGTCTTGTATATTAAGCAATGACGGATAAAATTAGTGCTCCAGTAATCTCGTAGTCGTAATTTTGTATTCAAACCCATCCATATCAAAATTCCCAAAAATTTTAATATTTCTTCTCTGTTAGTATCATTCCAGTTAGTGAGATATGAATTTGTCTTAACGTTTTTACGATTTATAGCATCACTAATTTTTTGTTCGGCATATCGATTTGTTTTCTGCACTAAAATATCGAGTACCTCGTCTGTTAGGAGCAGTATATAAAATGTTAAAAGTCCATCATTTTCCCTACTTTCTACAACTGTACCAAAAGAAGTATTTTTATATATAACGTCAAATGTATTCAAATGTCCATCAACATTGTTCCATATGCCTGTAAATTCTCTATAAGTATGAGGATTTACCATATCTATATGATTTAGATCTTCAATTTCAGATTCACTTTCGTTTATTTGCAAATTCAACTGTTCCTTGAATTCTAGGTTGACTTGTAACATTATCATCCTAAAATATTTCAAAATTAGATACAACATTTGAAATTTATACGTAACTATAAACTTACCTTAAGTGTTTTCACTTTCTGCCGTTTTGTTTGTGGTTCACAATCTGAAGAGTATTCACTGTTATCGGAAATATCAGTGTATAATGGATCGGCATCTGAATCATCAAATTCAAAATCATTTATTTCGTTAAAATTTTCAGCCAGATGCTCAAGTTCGTGTAAAGAAAGGTATCCCTTGTTATTTTTAGACATTGTACAAAAATAAACCCGACTGCAATGAAGGACTAACAGTAACTGCAATTGGTATGCCACTCGACAATTTCGTGTCTTCAAATTTTATCTACAATTTTTGCCGATTTTAATATGCAAGGATTACCGATCTAACATTGAAAACTGGATAACACAGTCTAGTGGAATGATAATACACGTATAAATACACTACAACTGCGTTCGGATCATACACACCGTCGCGTCGCTTGAATGCGTTCGACTCTCGTGTTTCAGGTAGAGTACATATTGTGTATTATGTATGATGATACACATAGGAGTCAAAGTGTTAAACACGTATGTTAGGAACGTACAAAGCAAATGTTTTGGCACTGCAGGAAATACAATGGCCGGAAATCGACAATCTTGACAAGAGTATACATTCCATATATTACAGCTGCAATAAAAATCAAGACATAGAGTGATATTTATTGTAAGTTAAAGAAAAGCAGTATTATTGACTTTAAGCCTACAGTCAAAGAATGTGTAATTTACACTTAAAAAGGAATTTTCTCAATTACAGTTTGATCAATGCATATGACCCAACTGATAACAAACCAGAAGGAATAACAAATCAGTTCTTCGAAGATCTAGAGGAAGCCTACAGATGATATCCCAGAAAGAACTGGGTACTTAATAAAAACGAAGAGGAAGAAAACCTGGAGTACGAAAGAGACGAGGTAAGTGGAACAGACGAGAGGAAAGAACCACCAACGATTCTTCAAGTTAAACACGCAGTTCAAAAACTATCCAGAATCAAATCACCGAGAATAGATAATCTTCCATTTGAACTATATAAAGAAAGTAGCCACGATACCGTAACGGCACTGCAGCAGCTCATAAAAGAAATATGGAGACAAAAATCCTTCTCCAGTAATTAGAATATTGGAATACTTGCACCATAGACAAAAAAGGAAATATATTTGAATATTTTAACAACAGAGAAATTACTCTTTTAAACGCAGCATATAAAAAATTCTTTACTTTATTATGCCACCCTATGGCACCATATGTAGAACGAAACAAGACCGAAGGCTGGTTTCAGAGGTAGTAAATAGACAATTTATTAGACAGAGTCATGTCTACATGAAAAGAAGAAAAAGAAGCAAGCCTGAGACAAATTTTAGGAATAACGCTGGAATATGACTTAAATACTCACCATATATTTAGAGGTTACAAAGCAACCTACGACTAAATATTATGCTTTACGGTCTTTTGAATTTTTAATAGCGTATTCTATTTCTCTTGTGATATCAGGTTCTTGGGGGCTATTTATTTCATGTTTCTTTACTCTGCTTGTGCTTGAATTCATTAAAAGTTTTTTTTGTTTACAGTCGGTGAAAAAGTCAAAACGCGTCCTTATAGCACACGAAGCTCCACTCACTTCTGGATTTGGTGCCGAAATTGCAGCTACAATTCAGGTAAGATCATATTTATTTTTGCTTTGTTACCAGTGTATTGACATTATTATTGATAACATCTGATTTTAAGAACATTTTGAATGTTATTCTCAATAATATTTTATCCTTGATAAGAGGCTATCCGTCCATAATATCCTTATGATTCTTCTGCATAGCTACATCTCGAAGGCTTCAAGTTTTTTCTCTATCACTTCAGTGAGTGTCCAGGATTCAACTCCGTAGTATAATATCGAGAAGATATAACATCTAAGGATCCTTACTTTTATCTCCAGATTAAGGTTGTGGCTTTGAACGAGTTTGGCCATGTTGTTGAATGTAATACTAGCCTTCTCTATTCAACATTTTACTTCTTGTGAGTGATTTCATTGTTCGTTTACTATTGTTCCAAGATAGGTAAACTATTTTACTCGGTTCACTATTTTATTCTTTTTTAAGCAGTTGGACGTCTCTAATTTTATCTTTGCTGATGACCATAAATTTAGTATTTGATATGTTTACCTCAGTAGTCTTAATCTTTTACTTACTTCATTTACATTGTTTATTAGTTGCTGTAAACTGTTTAGACTGTCGTCAGAAATAACGGTGTCATCTGCATAGCGGGTGTTGTTTAGGCGTTCTTCATTTAAAAGGATCCGATGTTCGCAATTTTCCAAGGCTTTACTAAATTATGTCCTCTGAATATAGGTTAAATAATACAGGTGAAAGTATACATCATTGTCTAACACCTCACAGAATCTGGATCGTTTCCGTCGGTTCACCTCCAAGATTTGTTCTTATTTTGGCTGATTGGTTCCAGTATAAATTTTGTATTATAAGCCGCTCTTTATAATATATTTGAGCTTCTGTTAAAACATCCATCATCATTCGGTGTTAAACTGTCTCAAATGCTTTTTGGTAGTCCACAAAGCAGATGTAGATATCACAAGTTATATCTCTGCATCTTGGGAATATTACCTGAAGACTAAACAGTGCATCTCTCGTACTTCCGCCTTTCATGAATCCAAACTGTATGCTTGTATATTCTGCGATGTATAATTTTAAGAAACAGTTTTAGTATAATGGCTCATTCGACTAATATCGATATAGGCTAATAATATTCTCCGCATTTTTTCGCTCCTTATTTCTTTGGTAACGTAATAATTTTTGAAACTAAAGAACAGTGTCTTCTATTTTCTTTATAATTTCATCATATTTTTTTAACTATTAGACCTTCCTAGACTTTAAAATAAATATTTCAACACCCAAATTAGCCAAGTCACTTCAGTCGTACTTGATTTATTATAAAAATATAAAATGACGTTTGTTCAACGTCATTTTATGATATTTTATAACTACTTGGATGAAATGAACTAAAACTGTAATATTTAATAATTTATGAATCTTAAACACCTCAAAACACAGTCTCCTGGTATGTACCATTTCCATGGTTACAAATCTTGTATTATATTAATTATCTATTTTTTGTCGTTAATAACTGAATTAAAAATATCCAAATACACAAAAAAACTGGCTACATAGACATCACCATATATATTACTTATAAATAACTACACACGAGAAATTAGAATAATAATAGAGAAAGGAAAGCAACAGCTGTAACAACCGAAAATGGCTAATTGTTTTTCAATTAACATTATATGTGCCAGCGCATAAATAAATGTCAGCAAGTTCAACTTTGTTGCATAAAATATACATTTAATTTAAACGAATAATTAATTCGTTAATAATAATTAAAACTTTATTATACTGTTAAGTGACAAGAAATATTATTTTGATAAATAAACGCGATTAATATAAGCTTTGGAATCAAAATAATCAATATAGCCATTACATAATGCACTAGCGTATCGTACAGAGTATCATTAAGTGTATCATAAAGGAAAAATTGTAAATAGTCCGGTCGGGATGTATTTAGGGATGTATTAGATGTTGTATATATATATATATATATATATATATATATATATATATATATTTATATATATATATATATATATATATATATATATATATATATATATATATCTAATAATCTAATAAATGCAATTCAAGGGTAAAATCAGAAATAAGGTACACATTCAATTAATGGTGAAATGGTGGTATTAATACAATCAAATAATTCGTCTATTATTAACGTATCAATAAAATTATTAATAATACATAATAACAAGCAAAACGATAATAATAAGTGATACAGTAAAAAATATCTAAACAAGCGTAAGTAAAATGTTCTTATCGGTAAAACTGTACAATCCCGACACCAGATTACCAGATATGACACAACACAACTGTATCTCTAGATAGGTCAGGAACTATTAGTGAAGTTGAGATTGATTGCAAAACAGTTTATCTTCTGACGTTCTTCGGATGAGTGTGTACCGGAAATATGGCGCAGAAGTTAGCGCTGGAACTGTAGTTGACAGCGGCACTGTTGATTAATGCTTGGAATTTTTGAGCTCTGCTTATTTATTCGTACTACTTGCAGTTCGATGGGGTTGTCGGTACGATGTTGAAATAATTCTTTTTAAAATTTATTAACATTTGTTTGAACTTGCGAAACTGCAACATTGGTGATACTTGTTCTTCGCAGGTTTTGTACAATCTCCGACCTATGATTTTTAAAAGAAGTTTCGACTAGTGGCTTTGTTTCATTGTTCTGTAATTACTTTACTTTTTGACCCCTTGCTTTTTTCATAGTTCCATACATTCTGATTTCTGGGTATTTTTTCATGATATATATACTGATGGCCAAAAATGCAACACTTTGTGTACGGTGATTTATTAGGAAAAATATATATGTGATAAAGCTTTTACCCCTTTTTTTTTCTCAAAAACAAAAGAAAGTTAAGAAAGATAAGAAAGTTTATTTCTGAGTATTTATCTTTGGTTTATTTTTAATTTTTGGTCATATTAAATTGTTTTTAATTTACCCAAAAAGTTTAAAATGCCAATTCTTTTTGTCTTATATTGTGTCCGGCAAATCTCCATTTCAATTTTGCAACTTCTTTCTAACATCCCTCACTTTTGTTTTCTCTCTTATCCACTCATTTCTCTTCTTATCCATTAGTCTTATGTGCAACATTTGTCTTTCCATTGCTCTTTGGGTTTTTATGATTTTGTCCATGTTTGCTTTTGTAAATGTCCACGTTTGGGAACCATAAGTAAGAAGAGTGAGTACGCATTGATTATATACTTTGGTCTTAAGATGCTGTGGATATCTTTTGTTTTTAAGAATGTAGCTTAGTTTGCCAAATGCCGCCCATGCCAGTCTAACTCGTCTCTTGATCTCTGCTGTTTGGTTCTCTTTGTTAAGTTTTATAGTTTGACCAAGATATATATAATCCTTAACTTGTTCTATTTCATCTTGTCCGATTCTCATTGTGATGTCTTCATCTGTATTTGTTATAGTTTTGGTCTTGCTGTATTTCATATTAAGGCCTATCTTTCCAGCTTCTACGTCCAGTTCTTTCATCATTTCAAATAATTCTTCTATTTTATCGGTTATCAATACGATGTCATCAGCGTACCTTAGATGGTTCAAGCGTTGTCCTCAAATTTTTATACCTTTTTTTTCCCATTCTAATCTTTTAAAAGTATCTTCAAGAGCCTGATTGAAAAGTTTCGCTGATATTGTATCACCCTGTCTCACGCCTCTACTTATTTGTTATGATTTTGTACTTGGTGTAAAATACGCCAAGTACTTGGTGATTTATTTGCTAATACGGGAAGGGTCCTCTTAAGAAAATCCGTTAATTAAAGATTACTTGGAATGGGACTGAGAAGTTACTGTCAGCTTTTGGTGTTACTTTTGACACCACAGAAAACGCTCGCTTAAAATCGTGCAGAGCTCAGCAAAACTGGAATAGCTAATGAAATTTTGTCGGCTTCAATAATGAAACTAGGTTCTATTTGGGTGGCTCAAATTGGCACACCAGGATAAGATGTTTTCGAGGAGAGAGAAGAAATATAGACTTGGCTTTTCAACGTCATATAACAAGGCAACCAAGCATTATTGTATTTAGTGCTATATGTTTGGGAATGAGATACCCTCTAGTTTTTAGAAAGTGGAATGAATATTGATAGTAGCCAGTATTTTGGTAAGTAACCAGTCCCGTAGATGTTGTTGAATAGCTTTGTAACAGCTGCGATTTGGTGTGCCTCTAATACCTTATTTCACCATGCACCTTATTAGGTCCTTATGATTTCTTTATCTTTAATCCACTTAATGGCCATAGTTACTTCTCCGTTTGTTATTTCTGAGCCGTAGGGATTGGTTATTTCAGTAGGACTTCGTGCTAAATCATCGAATAATTCTTACATTTCTCCGTCAACCATGCTTCTTTTGCTCCTTTTATCTTGTTTAGTATAGGCTTATGCAAGTTTTTGTATTTGTTTTTATTTCTACCTTTTAATTTTCTGCGTTCTTCCATCATCTGCAATATTTTATCTGTCATATATTCTTGCTTCTTTTCTCTTTTTGATTTTGGATATTCATGCGAAACTATTTTCGCAAAATTCTTAATATTCTCCGTTTTTATTTTTTTCTGGATGTCATTTTTTTAGTAGTCTTAGTAGTCTATTTTTGTTAAAGTGATAGAATTTCTAAACCTTTTATTTATGTTGATAAAATCAATTTGGTTTCTTATGACTTTTCCTGGGGTATCACCAGGTGCTTTCCATATATAAAGCTTTCTTGGGTGTAATTTAAACAGTGTATTCGTTACAACCATATCCGTCTCTTGGCAGGATTTGATCAGTCTTTCTCCTCTTTTGTTTCTTATGCCAAAACCATTATGACCCCACGACATTTTCGACTGTACCTTATTGTATTTGGTACTGAAGTCTCGACTGTATTTTGGTATTGAAATCGCCCATGATAATAGTAAGTTTATGTTTTTCGGTTAGTTTTAGAGAGTCTTCTAGAGTAGATATAAAACTTCAAGTCTTCAAGATATAATAAAAATAAGAAAACACAATATTATTACTATATTCACTACACA